AAAAGAAAACATGTATTTGTGCATGTTTTCCATAGAAAATACATGAATATGTAAAACCATCGAAAATCAATATGAAAACCTCATGCTACATAAATGGTCACTTTTTATCAACAGGGGCTTTTATAAGAGGTAGAAAAGAAGTGCATTCAAATGCCGACATTCTAGCAAGTTCGAAATGCTATGAGAGTATGTCGCTTGATAAGCAATATTACGACTCCACCTAAGAAATCCTTTCTAATCGAGAAAGTATTTCAGAAATTCGGCCAACATTTTATGAGATCGGTCACGCACTGTACTTTGCTGTGCCGCCGATACCTCCGGAGACCGGTCAGTCGGCTTCACGCCTAATTAATCCGGAGGAAGAGAAAGCATGAACCTTTTGGCATCCCGCCCAATCTTGGCAATCAGAGTTTTTCAAGTTTAAAGGCACCATTTTCCTATTTTGCGCGGGAAGACAGGTTTTCTTACTGAGGTGAACAAAGGCCATGGCACCCGGTAGGAATTTCAGGTAGATGCAAATGATTGAGCAGTATTTATATGTTATTATTGCCACGAGCGTCAACGGGTAGAGTCAGCAGATGGGATCATTAATTTTGACGAAAAGAATACGGTTTTGGTTAGCCTGTTAATTGATTCCACCTTAAAAGTAAATGGGTATCAGATAACTAAAATTACATGGAGCAAACCATTGAGAGCCACAGGCTAGGATCTTATGTATCCCGGCGAGTTAGCCAAAATGCTCGTTCCAACGCCGCCCGCAAGACAAAGTCGGCGCTTGATGTGGTTGTTGGAATCGGGGTAGTGAAAGGAATTGTGGGTAGGCTATGTACGATGTCTGTATGCCAAGCACACGAAATTACGCATAAGTGTCATTATTTTTAGGCAACGGGCGGTTACCATCCGGGATCGGACACGTAAAACAGACCGCTTCTACCAACCTCTTTTGACAACGACAGCAAAGCGCTGTAATCGTCAATTGTGTAGTCACTGCCTACGCTTTTACCAGCATTCGTTGGTGTAGGTCTTGAAAGTAACTTTCTGGTGCCCTGTCGGCGATCTGACAGGCTTTTTGGGGTTGACTCCGTGATTCATGTTGGCCAGATGTGTGAAAATGGAATTGCAGACCGATATATTTTCATCTCTACCTAGCACTAACCAGAAAGTGCCGAATGGATAAATGCACATCATCTGTAGTTGGTATTTACTTTCCAACCTTAGAAAAGGAGACTTTATGAAGCATATGCGTGGGTTAGTCAAAGGGGAAAAAGTTCTTGATAGGTGCCCGTAGACGTCGTCTTGCTATTTTTGTTTATTGCGTCTCCTAGCTACGGCAGTCTTATTACCACGTCTTTCTTTCCCCTA